AAAGCTGTACATATGAAATTTGTATTCATTAAATAAAAATCTTCAAAAAGTACATCTTTAATAAGAACTGGAATATAAAAATGCAAATGGCACATCTGCCACTGTATGGAATGTACTGATATAAAGATGACTCCCAATTTTAAAGGGAAGTTTTTGGAAAAAATAATGGAGGCCTGTTTAAATACATATATTCAAAGTGGCTTTAAAATAGCTTGGCAGAGTTTTTGCCCATGTTAATAAAACACTGGCTAGAAACAAGGAAGAAAACACACATTCTGGAGAATTAGCAATATTCTACAAATTCTGTTGAAAAAAATATAAAATCACAAGATTAAAAAAGAAACACATTGGAATCACAGAATGGTGGTACAGAGCAGACACAAAAGACACATTACATTGACTAGTAAATGAAATCTCATATGAATAGACTACCTCAGCACAGTACAAGCTTAGTTTAGAATTCAGAGACTGTTGAGAATAAAAGTTGCAACATTAAAGAAATTTGGATCATTTTAAAATGTACTAGAGTAGTCCTTTGGTAGCTGTAGGGGATTGGTTCCAGGACCCTGAATCCTTGGGGATAGTAAAATTGTGTATACTCAAGTCCTTCCATAAAATGCCTTACTATTTGCATAAAACCTCCACACATCCTCCCATACGCTTTATTTCTGTGTTACTTAAAATGCCTAATATAATTTAAATGCTATGTAAATAGTTCTACAATATTTTTAGAGAATAATGACAAGGAAAAAAATCTATCCATGTTCAGCATGACAACATCTTTTTTCCTCTTGAAAAATCTTTTTTTCACTCTGTAGCTGGTTAAGTCCACAGATGCAAAACCTATGAATACAGAGGACTGACTGTATACAGAAAAAAACATGGGAGCAGGTGTTCGATGCAGTAGGACAGACTCTGCTTGAAACGCTTGTATCCCCTATAGGAGTGCCTGGTTCAAGTCCTGGCTCCTCTGATTCCAATTCAGTTTCCTGCCAAAGCGTACTTTGAAAGGCAGTAGATAACAGCTCAAGCACTTGAGTCCCTGCTACCCACGTGGGAGACCTGATCTTAGTGCCAGGCTTCGGGCTTTGACTTGGCCTAGCCATGACTATTATGGGCATTAGAGGAATGAACCAGTTGATGGATGATCTATCTGCCTGCCTCTCTGCCTTTCAAATAAAACGAAAACAAATTTTAAAAATAAAAAAAAACAGAACATATGTAAATAAAATGAATAAAAAGTAAAATATAATAAATATGAATGAATTCTTAGGCAGGTAAGCCACAGTAATTCTTCAGAAATATCCAATGCAAAACAAAGTAACATATTTGAAGAAATTTTCCCCATGCTCATCAAAAACATGCTTTATTGAACATTAGTTCACAGTAAGCTAGCTATAGTGAAAAGAATGAATGCTAATGAAAACTTACATAACAAATGATTATATTAAAAACATCAAACAATAAAAACAGAGTAGAAAGTACTACACAGATTTTAGTCTTTATATTAAAAAGTTTAGCAATGATCACATTCAAAATTAAGTAAATCACCAGTCCTAAAGCATGAAAATGTGGAATCATGGCTAGAATAATCCAGATGACTCTCTTTACCAGTGGCATTCACTTTGTTAGCAACTGAGTCATCACTACCTTCAAACAATTCACTGTGCTCAGACTCACCAAGGATATTACTAATTCCCCATTTTACAAGAGATTTCACCACAACCTCTTGCTTTATAGCTTCCCACTAAGTTTCAACTCACCCACACAATTGTGAAGTGAAGTTATCACTTTAAAAGTCTCAAGCCTACATCCATGTGTACTACTCCTCCCTCACAAACACTTTAGAGATTAGATTTGCTGCACTTGTTTTCTTCAAGTCCTTATTTTCTCAGTTGGTGGTAGGCTAGGATAATGACCCATAGTGGTATTTTATAAGTCTATAAAATTAAGCTTTTAATGTTATAGCAATGTCTCTGCTGCTTTTGACTCAATGGTTACGGCAGTAAGAAATCTCCAGCTGAAAACAAAGGGGGAGAGTGCACATTCTGCTTCTGATGGCCTCTGTGATCCATGCTTCTTACTGCGGCAAGGGACCATGGTATCTCTGGATAGGAAACTGGTATCTATATTCTGTGATATCTGCTGCCACGCTCTGCTGCTGGTAGAAGCATCCTCACTGTTCTCTGGTTGCCTATGTCAGTTAGATGCAAATTATTTTTCCCTTTGCCTCTGTTAATGCTATTTATTGCACCTTTGTTTTCTACTCCATTATTTTAAAATTTTTTAAACAATCTCAAAATCACAGAAAGTTCCAAGTGTGGTACAAATAACTACCTTCCTGAACTGTTTCAAAGTTAAGTCATTAACAAGATGTCTCAACACTCTCAGAACACTTTTGAGGATTTCATATAAAGATATTATCTTACATAAACACAATACAACCATTGAAATTGGAAAATTAACATGGATACTTTATTATCATTGTAATCTTACACCATATTCAGTTTTATCAGAAAAAGGAGCTGGTTCAGACCTAATGGAATTCTCTCCTCCCTTGATCCTGATACTTGGAAGATTATGGGCCAGTGATATTTTAGGTGTTCCTCAGTTTGGGTTTGTCTAGCAGCTCCTGCTCATCATGATGAGATTCAGATCATGGAGTTTTGGCTGAATGACACAGAAGCGCTGCTGTGCTGGTGGAATGCACTGTGATCTACACTGTTATTGATAACCTTCCCTTTCAGCTGCCAGGCTTTTCCTGGCCACATTACTCTTTCCCACTTGGTAATCTGTATATTTCGGGGAGATTTTCTGAAACCGTGCATGATCAATTCTAGCTACACTGGAATGCAGTAAGCAGTTAGTGGGTGGTCATGTTCTACAAAGTCAGCATGGACACTGATTTCGTAAATGATGAGTCACCGCCCTAGAGGAAATGCAGTGTTAGATTTCTGAGAGCCTCTGGTGGTAATATTTTTGTCAACTGAATGATCAATACAGAACTTTGTTTCCTATATGTTTATGTATAGACACCTTTCTTAGTGTGTATCACTGATTCATTAGCACTGAACTTTGTGGCCAATGGCTCTACAACTGGTGCCTTAACAAAGCCCATCCAACACATGCATTTTCTTCACAAGGCACAGCACAGTGCAGAGAGCACATTCAGCAGTGTGTTAGGGGACATCTTAAAGTGAACCTCCAACAAACTGCATATTTTTTAAACACTGCAATAAGCAAACTGCAAAAAGGACTCACCCCTTTTTTTTTTTACAGTGCAAATTAAATAACTCTGGCTGCTGTGGAAGATGGCGGAGGAGCAGGTCCTGGTGCTGGATGGCTGAGGCTATCTCTTAGGCCACCTGGTGGCCACTGTGGCTGAAGTACCTGGCCTCCGTTCCCAAGTGGATGAACACCAACCCCTCTCACGGCCCCTACCACTTTTAGGCCCTCAGCCGCATATTCTAGCAAACTGCATGAGGCATACTGCCCTATAAGTGGGGCCAGGCTGCCCTGGACTGCCTCAAGGTGTTCAATGACAAGAAAAGCAGATGGCGGTTCCTGCAGTCCTCAAGGTTGTACATCTGAAGCCTATGAGAAAGTCTGCCTACTTGGGGCACCTGGCTCATGAAGTTGGCTGGATGTACCAGGCAGTGACAAGAGAAGAGGAAGGAGAAGGCCAAGATCCATTATTGGAAGAAAAAGCAGCCCATGAAGTTATGGAAACTTGAGGAAAAGAAGGTAAAGAAGAAAATTAACAAAATCACAGATGTCCTCAGGACACGTGGACTCCAGGTCTAAGCCCAATAAAGACTGCAACAAGAAGGCAGAGCACCACCATGTCTGACATAAGCTAGGAACACGTATGTCAGGTGACACATTTTCCACGTCTGAGAATGACTGCAAAAGTGCCACAAGTGTTGATTCTGAGTCACAAATAAACTAAAGTGAGTGGGCAAATATGGAATCTGACAATTAGGATTGACTCTAAATATGTTCCTGAATCATACTTGTAGTTTATCAATCATATGTGTGTGTGTGTGTGTGTGTGTGTATGTATCAGAATGGACTCCATGGGATCTTATTTTTATTCTTTGATTATATTTTGTTTATATTCATATGTATTCTTGATACACCAATTGTCTCCTGTTTTGAGCCAATGGAAGCTCTTCAAGATGGTTCCTGCACCTGTCTTTCAACATTTCCTTATAATTC